CTCCCGGGTTCAGGCAATTCTCCTGCCTCAGCCTCCTGAGTAGCTGGGATTACAGGCACGTGCCACCATGCCCAGCTAATTTTTTGTAGTTTTAGTAGAGACGGGGTTTCACCACGTTGACCAGGATGGTCTCGATCTCTTGACCTCGTGATCCACCCGCCTCGGCCTCCCAAAGTGCTGGGATTACAGGCATGAGCCACCGTGCCCGATCCCAATTAATTCTTAAGATTAATACACAAAGCTAAATGGACTATTAGGCTTACCGTCATTGTATTTCTTATGCTCCCAATATCTTTTTTTAAATTATTAAAGTCTTTATATATTTGAAATGAAGTCTTCCTCAGTCACCCAGGCTAGAGTGCAGAGATGTTATCTTGGTTCACTGCAACCTATGCTTCCCTGGTTTAAGCCATTCTAATGCCTCGGCCTTCCAAGCAGCTGGAACTATGGGCATGAGCCACCACACCCAACTATTTTCGTATTTTTAGTAGAGACAGGGTTTTGCTATGTTGGCCAGGCTGGGATCAAACTCTTGACCTCAAGTAATCCGTCTGCCTCAGCCTGCCAAAGTGCTGGGATTAGAGGCATAAGCCACCGTGCCTAGCCTGCTCCTAATATCTTGATTTAAACATCTTCCTTGTCCTTTTCTCCCTTTTTTTTTTTTTTTTTGAGACAGGGTCTCATTTTGTCACCCCAGATGGAGTACAGTGGCACAATCACAGCTGACTGTGGCCCTAACCTCCTGGGCACAAGCAATCCTCATGCCTCAGCCTCCTGAATACAGAAGTACTCAGGAGTACTACATGTGTGTGCCACCATGCCCTGCTAATTTTTGTATTTTTGTAGAGAAGGGGTTTCACACCATGTCTGCTATGTTGCCCGGGTCAGTCACCATGCCTGGCCCTCCCTTCCTTTCTGGTTCATCTAATGTACTCTTTGGAAGGGCATATTTAGGCTGGGTGTGGTTGCTCATGCCTATAATCCCAGCACTTTGGGAGGCCAAGAGTTCCAAACCAGCCTGAGAAACATGGTGAATCCCTATCTGCACAAAAATACAAAGATTAGCTGGGTGTGGTGGCATGCACCTGTAATCCCAGCTACTTGGGAAGCTGACATGAGAGGACCACTTGAGCCCAGGGAGGTCGAGGCTGCAAAGAACTCTGACTGCACCACTGCACTCCACCATGGGGGATAGACTAAGACCCCATCTCAAAAACAAAAAGAAAAAGCAAGCAAACAAACAAATACCATATTTGGCAACTGTTTGCAGTAGACATTCCTTCCAAAGAGCGCCAGGTGCTTTGGGTTTTTAGGTGTGTTCTGGCTATCAATTAATAGGCTGTATCATTT